CAAAAATTAGCTGGGAGTGGTGGCAGGTGCCTGTAGTCCCAACTACTTGGGAGGCTGAGGCAGGAGAATTGCTTGGACCTGAGAGGTTGTGAGGCTGCAGTGAGCCAAGATTACACCACTGCTCTCCAGTCCAGCCTGGGCAACAGAGCAAGGCTGCATCTAAAAATAAAAAAAAAAAAAAAAAGTAGAGAGAGAGAAAGAAAATTCTGGATTCTGCAAATAAATTTTTAAAAACTTAATGCTACTGCCAAGACATGAACCTATCTTGCTATCATGTTAACAAGCGCAAGCTGTGACACTGGGTGATTATGTTTTCTTTAGAGACAGCCTTTGAGTTGGTGATAAGCTTATACACTGAAGATGCCTTGACCAGCAAAACCTGTGTATCATAAGATGCAGGGTCCTATTTTTCTGTATATTATGCACATTTGGAGTTCTCTTTTCATTTTAAGATCAGCTGACATAAGACGTAGCTTTAAATGTCAGAAGCAGGTTTGTGATACTCACAAGTTACATCCATTATAACTTCTGTTATCACTGCTACTTAAAATCATGGAATCAGTGTTGGAAATATTACCAAATACGAACTTGATAAGACTATAAGTTGACCTAAAACTCGTCCAAATGATACCAAGTGTTATTTTTAAAATAGTTACCAAATTTTCTTTCCCTCCCTCCCTCCCTCCCTCCCTTCCTTCCTCCCTTCCCTTCCCTCCCCTTCCCTCCCTCCCTCCCTCCCTCCCTTTCTCTCTCTCTCTTTCTCCCTTTCCTTCCTTCCTTCCTTCCTGCCTGCCTTCCTTCCTTCCTTCCTTCCTTCTTTCTTTCTTTCTTTCTTTCTTTCCCCTTCCTTCCTTCCTCCCTCCCTCCCTCCCTCCCTCTTTGTTTCTTTCATTTTCTTTCTTTTCTTTTCCCTTTTCTTTTCTTTTTTCTTTTCTTTCCTTCCTTCCTCCTTTCCTTGCCTTGCCTTGCCTTTGCTTTCCTTTCCTTTCCTTTCCTTGCTTTCCTTTCCTCTTTCCTCCGTCCTCCTCTTTCTTCTTTCGTTTTTAGATTGAGTTTTGCTCTTGTCATCCAGCAGGTTGGAATGCAGTGACACAACCTTGGCTCACTGCAACCTCCACCTCCTGGGTTCAAGCGATTCTTCTGCCTCAGCCTCTCCAGTAGCTGGGATTACAAGTGCCCACCACCATTTTTGTATTTTTAGTAGGGACAGGATTTTGACCTGTTGGCCAGGCTGGTCTCAAACCCCTGACCTGAGGCGATCCACCAGCCTTGGCCTCCCAAAGAGCTGGGATTACAGTGCCCGGCCAATAGTTACTAATTTTTCAAGCCACAGGAAATAAAAATTAGCTGTGTCAACGTGGATTAAGCTTAAATTTTTGTTTGAAAATGCTGATTTTTAGAAACTAAGCTTTTAAAAAGTTTGAATCATTCTGTGATCTTAAATACATCAGTTACTCATTTTGAGACATGCTGAACAATGAAAAAAATTAGGATACAGAAAGAGTTCCATCTTTTGAAGAATTAATTGAT